AACAGTTAGCTACGGGCCCCCGTACCAATGAAAAGGCAGTTAAACACTTCCAACATTCGGTGGTGTAGGTAAACATTCCCGTTCCAAAACGTACAAACGGGAATAGAAAGGAACAGGTCCAGCGCAGGTCCAAAACCCCGCAGGGCAAACATGAAGTCCTGCAGTTCCTCTTCCGGCACATGAGGCAGTTTGTGGCAAATGTGAGCTCCGGGCCACTCTGGCCAAGCTGCCGTGGCCCAGCCCCATCTGACGGGTCCTCTTGGCTGTAGCCTGGAGGCTGAGGACCCTGCTTCCCTGTCCTCAGGGACCCTGCTTCTTGCTCCTCCTCCCATCCCTGTTGCTCACGGCGTGCCTGGCTTCCTCTTCCTCTGCTTGCTTCCTCTCCCTTCTGAGAAGCTGGGGTCTCGGGGCCTCTCCTCCCAGGCTGTCGCTGGCACTGCGTGCTTGATGGTCCCCTGCACACGGGGGTCTGTCACCGCCCACGGCCCAGACCTGTCTCTTGGGCTTCAGCACCAACCTCCTCCTTGTGTCCCCTGCGTGCAGTACCCCAGCTCTGTCCCCTCCTGCCCGGGGATAGAAACCCCGGTCTCCTGCGGGGACTGCCTCGGCCCACACTCCTGGGGTCCCTGGTCCTGAGGCCACGTAACTCCACACCGTCAGCCCTCGGCCCCACTCGCAGCCTGCACCGTGGCCTCCCCGGGGCCCACAGGGCCTTGGGGAGGAGCTTACTGGAGTCCCCTCTTCTAATTATTCTCATCTTTATGGGCTGGGGATACAGCTCAGCGGCACAGCGCCTGCTTGGCAAGCGCAAGATGATACTCTCATCTTTTAAAGGGGGAAATGAAGCTTAGATGAATATTTCTCTGCAGGTGGACATAGTACATGAATAGACGGTATGAGCACACATGCGATGCGCTAAAGACGTCTTCAAGATGGGCAGTCAGAGGGGCAGGGCCCCCACTGCCTGACCTCATCCTGGGGCTCAGCCCGCCAGTAGGGCCCCCGGACCCCATGCTCTTGTACACCTTGTATCCGCTGTTAGCTGTGAGCAGTAGCAGATGGAAACACAAAGCATAAAGCAGCTGCAGGTTGTGGGTCTCTTGTGTAAACCGTGTCTGGAGGTGGGCAGCCCACAGATAATGTGGCAGTGCCAAGAGTGCCTAAGACCCAGCTTCTCTGAGAGTCCTGCTCTGCTCTTCTCAACCTGTGCTTTCCAGTTCATGGTTCAAAACGGCTGCTTTCGCTCCAGCCATATCGTCAGCATTCCCTCGGCATGACGGTGGAAGGACAAGGTGAAGAAAAACATCCTCCTCCCCCTCTTTAAGGATACTCTGCAGGGTGCGGTGGCACACACCTCTAACCCCAGCACTCAGAGGCTGAGGCAGGAGGATCGCCATGAGTTCAAGGCCAGCCTGGGCTACATAGTGAGTTCAAAGATAGCCTGAACTATGTAGCAAGACCCTGTCTCAGAAAAAAAGGAGACTCTGGTAATTAAAGATAAAGAACCATCTCTGTTTATGATAAAGAGATTGCTCTACCAGAGCAGTATCACAACCCTGTCTGTTTGCACTGCTTAAAGTAGCTCTGGATCAAAAGGTCGCAGACGCGCAGGGGGACAGGTGAGCCCGCAGTCGCGGAGAAGTGCTTCTCAGTAGCGTGTCTTTCTCAGTAACCAGCAGAACAGGTGGAACAAAACCAGCAAGGACATAGGTGACGTCCAAGCACGGTGAACACGTGGCCTGCTGGCACCCGCAGCCCTGTCCCCACACGTTCATGGGAAACACACAGCCCGGGGGTGACCGTGTCAGAAGTTGTTCGCACTGCCTGGCTGCTCGCAGTCCATTGCGCTGTGAGTTCCAGAAAGGGGGCTGGGGAATGTCACCTGCTCCGCGTGGCGCTCATTGTGTTACTGCACAGAGAGGTTCAGTAACTTGCCCAAGGTCACACAGCCTATAAATGGCAAAGCCAGCTTTCAGATCCAGGCGTCCAGCCCCACGCTGGTAACGACACTTCTCTGCCACCCCTGGCACCTGTGACTTTGGGGAAACCATTTTTAAATGCACGCCCAACTCAGATGTGTTAATATCTTCATTTCAGCCGGGCATGGTGGTGCACGCCTGTAATCCTAGCACTCAGGAAACTGAGGCAGGAGGATTGCTGTGAGTTTGAGGCCAGCCTGGGCTACAAAGTGAGCTCAAGGCCAGCCTGAACTGCATAGCAAGACACTGTTTCAAAAAGACAAAAAAAATCTCCGTTCCTTCCACAAAAGATTGCACAGAGCCCAGATGTTTCCCTGGACCCTTTCTGTCCCACCTATGGCTGAAATTTTACCATCAGAAATGGGTTTCTTTCTGTGAAGTCCTTTTCTCTTCCTGAAGTTCTTTTTAGAAATGCAACTTCCCAGCTAAGCATGGAAGACACACAGTTATATAAGTTGCTCAGCCTGGGTAATTTAGTGACTTAGCCAGACCTTGTCTCAAAATATGAGTAAAATAAAAGAGCTAGGGGTATAGCTTCTGAGTTCACTCCCCAGTCCCCCCCCCACACACACACACACAGAATCGATTTCCCTCATCCGGCTGTGGTGGAGCACAGAGGACCCGGAGAGATGTCAGAGAGGAGAGCAGGCCAGCACTCCACTGGGTGACCCTGGCCGTGGAGCCCAAGGGCCAGCTGCAGAGTGACCAGCACAGCCCCCAGACCTGGCGCCCACTGACTCATCTGCCACCATGCCTCACAAATTTCCTTTTTCTCCGTCTTTCTCCCGCCTCCCTGCCTCTCCTACTACATTGGAGAAAAACGGGTTTTGTCTTCTGTTAACAAGAAGACAAAGTCTTAAACCACCCTCTCCGTGGTCCGCGAACAGAAATCATAGAGTGGACAGCCACCCTGGCTTTTCTCTGTCTCCAGGAGCCCCGAGCTTTGAAATCCAAGGCCGAGCAGGGACTTGGGCGGAAGTGGGGTGAGCTTGGCCGAGCACCGGCCCAGGCGGAAGCGGGCGGGCTGAGCCGCCGCTGGGGTGAGGGAGGTGGACAAGCGCAGAAGCAGAGCTTCCTCTGCTTCTGGAGTGCAAAGAGCTTCCCCGGGTGGGGCCGGCTCCTGGAGGGCACCTGCCCGTGGGCACGGAAGAGGGATCCGTCCCTTCCAGAGCAGGCAGCGTGGGCAGGCGTGGAAGGGCTTCTCCGCCTCCGCCTCCGCCACGTCGTGGTTCCCAGGCCCTCCATCCCTGGTCAGCACAAGAGAAAGAGCGCCATGCTAGAGACTGGGCACCTCGGGACTGGGGTCTGGAGTGTTCGCCTCAGCTCTTTGGCATGGAGCAGCAACAGGTAGCGTTTGTGGAGCGCTTTCCCGGCTCTGAGCACTCTCCGTTATAACTTCACAGAGATTGTCCCGTCGCCTTCCACAGCCTTCTGGGTAGGTGTCGCTGTGGTGCACGTTTGCAGGTGAGACTGAGGGACGGGAATTCAGGTGCTTGCACAAATGCATGTCACAGACGGTCCCGTGAGTCCCACATCAGCTGTGCCGTAGCTCAGGGTTTGAGCCCCGTCGTCAGACTGCAGAGATTCTCGTATTCCCTGCCAAACTGCCGGGCCACCTGGGAAATCAGAGAGCCAGGGACGGATGGGTGGCATGGCACAGAACAGCAGCCGCTGTGTGCCACGTTCCTGCCGTGTGTGTGTGCGCAGAGGGCACAAATTCCCAGTACACTGTGTGCCAAATACAGAGTGTGTGTGTGTGTGCGTGTGTGTGTGTGAGAGAGAGAGAGAGAGATAGGTACACACGTGCTGCAACATAGAATGAGAACACAGCAAGGCCCATGCACGGCCTGCAGGAGGCCTGTCTGTGGGTCAGGTCCGTATCGTGAGGACAAAGCTGACATCTAAGGTGGCGCAAGTACCCCCCTGTAGCCCTCCAGGAGGCGGGCAGTAGCCAGTGCCTGTGCTGATCCCAGCTCCGGGCAGCCACCCAGAAGCCCACAGGGCCACATGGCTCAGAGGCCTCTGGCACGGGCGGGTGAAGGGTCCCTGCGGCTTCCTGGCCCGCTCACCTGTGTTCTTCGCAGGCCTGGTGACCATGGCCCACTGCAAGAGCGAGCAGGATGACTGGCTGGTTGTCTACCTGAAGTACTTGCTGTTTGTCTTCAACTTCTTCTTCTGGGTAAGTGAGTTCTGCACATGCACCCCTTTCCCCCGCAACAAGAGTCGGCTGATTTCTTCCCCATCCAAGGCCACCGAAGGGCAGGTCCTGTGTGTTGCAAGGCGGTTTGTGCCTTTGTTCCTAAGGGAAAGCCAGGGGGTCTGGTCTGCAGGTTGGCATGGAGTCGGCCCGCCTGGCCTGAGACCAGAGGCGTAGCAGTACCCTTTCCGTGCCAGTGCCCTGCACTGAAGGGCCAGCTCTTTCTTTCCTGGCACTGGTCACCCAGTGCCCTATGGGAATGTGACTGCCTGCAGCAACAGCGTGTTTCCACCACTGAAGCCCTTTTGGCCCGCGTTCCCCACTGCTTGTGGTAGGAGCGGCATCTCTCCGTGGTGACTCCCCAGGAAGCCTCCCTGGCTGACCTTTTCCAGAACAGTGCGGAGTCTGTCCCCCGAGTACTTGGGAACATCAGCCCCCCAAAATAGCCATCCTGGGGGGGGGGTGTTTTGCATTGCAGTCTCGCGTAATTTGGGGGGGCATCACAGCCTTTGCAGTCAGCTGGACCCGGGCCTCTGTGATCTGCGATTGGTGCAACTTCAGGCAACTTACGGGTTCAGTGAGTCTGTGTCCCCAGTTACTTTAGGGACCATTTCTAATCTCTTGGTCTTGCTTTCAATAAATACAATATTCTGAATATATTAGACTTTGAATGCCTGAACCTCCCGCCACAGCCACCTCCTGATAAGACAGAACTGATTTCCTGCTGCCCAGGGTTGCCTCTAGGACAGTCTCACAAGCCTTACAGGAAGTCAGATGCCAAGGTGGGATACGTCTCCCCTTCCATGCATGCTCCTCCAGGCCCCGGATGCACATCGGTGCGGGCTGGGTGGATCCAGCCGAGCAGCAGTTTTGGGGAGAAAGCAACCAATCGATGCTATGGATCAAAAAACGGAACAATCTTGTGTTTGTTTAAACGCGTTTTGCAATGTTCCTGGGATGAACAGTGCGCTGATCTGCCTCCTTTGTCTCTGGGCGCGTGTCTCCTGGAGCAGGGACAGCGTCCCATGAGGGTGAGAAGCCAGATGCTGCGGACCGCAAGCTGTGGGGTGAGGGGCTCTGCACTCTCAGAGATTGTTGGTGGGGTGTTCAGGATTCTTACTGAGTGAGCATTTCTTTGTAAGAGTGTTTTTCCTGGTAACTCGTGTCAGGCCCCAACCCAACAGCATCTTGCAAATGCGGACAGTGTGGCTGCAGGGAGCCCTGGCTTCCGCTCTCCGGCGCCGGGCTTTGGTGAAGGATATAGTAGAGACCCACGGGGGACAGGAAGCGGCGCTCTCACCTCGCTCCTCCCAGCTCAGGCGCCTGGCCTCTGCTCCTGGCTCCCTTTGTGGACTTGGGGAGGGTGGGGACCGTGAGCAGCAGCCCGGCGGATACCGAGGGTCCCGCGTTGCTCTGCCTCACGACTCCCGGGGGGCTGGCGTGAGGCAGACCCAGGCTGGACTCAGGTCCTGCTGTGTTTTACAACTGGGGCTCAGGGGGGGCAGCAATGGGACTCCAGGGGAATGTCTGTGCAGGAGGGCGTCTTCCTTTGGGGACAGGGTCCCCTCCCCAGGAAATCTGGTCAGTGCCCGGGGAACTGGGGGCTGCTAGGTGTAAACTTGGTCTCTGTCTTGGGAGGAGACGGATGGGCAGTCTGTCCCGTATCTCCTGAAGATGGCGAGGCAGTTGAGGGGACCGAACGCCATGACCTCCTGCACCACAGACTGAGGCTGGAATCTTCCGAGGCCACCACTGCTGTCACAAGAGCGAGGCTGTGCTGACCCGGCCCTGAGAGGCTGGTCTGCGGCCAGCCAGTTGCAGGTCAGGATGTTTCCAGCGGGAAGCTGGACAAGGCTAAGGACAGTGCCCGCCCTAGTGGCTGCCCTGGGAACGCACTGGCTGCCCACGTGCCCGCCCACCGCACCCTTCTCCTTATGGTTCCAAAGGAATGAGGACTTGGCCCACTCTGGCTGGCAGGGGCCCCGAGGGTGGTCACCCGCACCAGCCTCGGGGCTTCAGAGCCGTGGACACGGCCGGGGAGCAGGGTCTGCGTGGAGCTCTGCCTCTCCGACCCTCGCCTCTGGGGCTCTCTTCACACCTCTGCTCCTGTGACTCAGCCTAGCGGCTGCCCCAGGCCTCAGGGTGCTTACCGTGTCCCCTGTGCTCACCCTGGGTTATACGTGCCGCCCTCCGCCCAGCCCTCGAGGATCATTATCTCCTCGGTTCACAGATGCAGAACAGGCTCACCAGCTTCACCTTCCCACCCCCGGCCTTAATGATAAGCAGAGCTAGCATGGTATTCGAGTACCCGGTCAGTAATTATAACTGTTTAAAAACTCATTCCACGGTTTTTATTAAGCACCTGTGAAATGTCAGGCGTAGTCCTAGGTGCTCAGAACACATCGGTGAAGGAGATCCCTGCTCTCTGCAGAGACCGCGGTGGCCTCCTCTGGCTGGACCCTCCACTTGTGCCCCCCTGGTTGATCCTCCCGGCTCCCCTTGGCGCTGTCTATTCGACCCGCTTTGCAGCGTGTGGAGCTGTTTCCCCAGCGTTCAAATTCCGTGATTATTTGCCACAGCAAGTTCAGTGCAGTGGCTGAATGGTGTCCCCTCCAGGTTCACACGCCGGAGCTCTGACCCCGAGGGCACTGATTCGCAGTCAGAGCTTTGGGGAGGCGAGGAAGGAAGGGGACGTGATCGTGAAGGCGGGCGCCGAGCCGACAGGAAGTACAAGAGGGTCTCCACGGCAAGCACTAAACAGGCCGCCTGAGGACCCGCAGGAAGGCTGCCAGCCAGCCAGGCGCTGCGTCAGCTAGGGCCTTGGCCTTGGAATCCGGACCCCAGAACTGGAAGGAGTAAATTCTCTTGCCTAGGCCACCCAGTGTGTGACATTTCATGATGACAGCCCAGGCAGACTAAGCCATTAGACAGACCGCCTGGCCACTCCGGCCTCACTCACTTCCTGTTAAATGAAAATCCAACTGTAAGAATTAGAGGTTGGTATTTTGGGAAACAATTCAGCACAGTTTCTGGTACATACTTGGTGTTTGTTGTGATGCGTGACAGTTATGCTGAGGGGAACAGCCACGCTCTGTCCCACCCTGCGTTCTCTATCCACGGTGCTGGGAAGGAGATTTTTTTGTGATTTGTTTGTTGTTTTTTTGGTTTGTTTGATACCAGGAATCAAACTCAGGCCCTTGCGCTTGCCAGGCAGGCACTTACGCCACTGAGCTATATCCCCGGCCCCTGTTTGTTTGTTTTTGAGACAGGGTCTCATTGTGCAGTTTGGGGTGGCTTTGAACTCACTTTGTAGCCCAGGCTGGCCTCAAACTCACAGTGATCCTCCTGCCTCAGCCTCAGGAATGCTGCGATTACAGATGTGTGCCGCCACGCCCAGCCAGATTCTTGAGTTCTTGTCCCCGCTGTGCTGCTACAGTTATGTGGCCCTGGGATATCACTTTTCTCTGGGCCTTAGATTCTCCTTCCAGAGTGTAAAAGGTGTGGATCTTCCTCCTCCCTCCCGTGGAATCCCTGGACGTTTCCCATGTGCGGCCCTCTCCCAGGGATGCGAGGATGAACAAGGTTTAATTAAGAGGCTGCAGAGAGAGACACTAAGGTAGCAAATGAACCCGGTAGGCTGCGCTGCACGTAACTGTGGAAACAGGCAGGACACAGGAGCGGGTGCTGGGTGGGGGTGACTGCGTGAGGACGCTTCCTTCAGGCTCCTGAGCTGGGGCCCAAATGTGCAGGTGAACGAATGCTCCCTGCGGGCTCCTGCCCCATGTGTCCTGTGGGGTTGCACGCTCCTTGTGAGAGTAGACGGGATGGGGGCATAACGTTCTCGGTTACCGTGCAAGTCTCTTTAAAACAGAGGCGTGAACGCAGTGCGTCCCGGTGGAGAGCGCCCTCCCTGTGACAAACGAGGTGCACGGACTCCTCACACGGGACAGGTTTGGAGCCAAGGACACCGGGCAGAGAGGACACCAGCCTCACCTCAGAAGCAGGAAACTGCTGCTGCTCCTTAGCAGGGAGAAGAGCAGTGCTGACAGCTCTCAGAGGCGGGTGTGGACTGGGGCGCCCTCAACCCGCACCCCCTCCCGCCCCCTGTGCGCACCGGGCTCTGCAGTCAGGGCGTGGCTCACTGGAAAGGGGGAACGCCAGGGAACTAAGCCTGGCTCACGGGAGGTCCCCTGGTCCTGTCCCTGAGCCCCCAGGCTGTCTGCACCCTGAGTTACTCAGTCCTCCCGTGTGGCAGGGGTCGCCCTGGTGGTGACTGAGTCTGAGTCCCTCCACCAGCTGCCACAAGTGATGGGGAGCATGGCGCTGTCGGCCGGGCCCCTCCGTCGTCTGAGAGGCTGGCAGAGCCAAGACCGGCGCTCAGGGGGTGGTGATTGAAAGAGAGAGAGAACAAAGACACATCCACCTGGCCCTGAGACCCTGATGGCCCGGAGAAAAGCCCCTCCCCACCTCGGGATGCAGATGGTCCTTTAAAACGAATAATCGTAAGTCAGAAGTCGCACTCACTGCCCAAGAAACTCAGCCAGGGAAGACAGGTTGGAGAGCACAGCTCTCTCTACCCAAGCTCCGTCCGCCCAGTGCCACGCTCACCACGGACTTCCAGGCTGCAGGCTGTGTTCTCAGGGTCGGGGGGGGGTACTCTCTCGCTCTCTCTCTCTGTCTCTTTCTCTCTGTCTCTGTCTCTCTCTCGCTCTCTGACACACACGCACGTGCACACACATACATGCGTGCACACACACACACACACACACACACACGCATACACACACGCCGAGGGCTCCTGGGAAGGAGGGAGTGGTGTCACAGAGCTGCTGAGGGAGCGCCCCCGCCCTGAACTTAGGAGGATGTGCAGGAGTTCTGTAGAAGAGAAAGAAGGAAGAGAAAACCTGAGTCCCAAAGAGGCTGCGTAGCGTGTGCAGACCACACAGCTGAGCCACGGAGGCTCTGGGACAGGACACGGGCCCCTCGCCTCCGAGTTCTCCCTCTGACCGTTCCATGGGTGCATCCTGAGGGATGCTGCTTCGTTCGTGGCCACTAAAGCCCAGGCCGGAGGAAGGCGAGCAGGAGCTTGGTGCCCTGCGGGTTGGGGGCAGTGGGGCTTCTCCGCAGGGCACCACAGCGGCTCCACGTGCCTCCGGGGATGGGAGAGGAAGAGGGGTCACTCGGACCCTGCGGTGTCAAGTCTGAGTGGGGCGTGGTGCTGGTGATGAGACCACGGGCGAGGACCGTGGGTGGCCGTGTGGTCCCACGTGGGTGGACCCAGCCCCAGACCCTTCCAGAGCAGTGTGGTGCTTGGCAATGAACATAAGCCGTGCTGTCGCCCTGCGTGGGTCCTGTTTCCCAGGGTGAGGGGCTTCCCGGGCCTGGAGGGAGAGAGCTGTCCTGGCAGGGGATGCTTCCCCACTGTGACCCCAGGGCCCTGCCCCTCTGCCACCCCGTCTTTCCCACGCTTCCAGGGCCCTCTTCCTGCTGTCCCGTGCGTGCGTCTGCAGCCTTGCTTCTGATAGGCCCCAGCACACGCGGCTGCCCAGCTCATCCTTCTCCTTGCGGTGACTTGAACAACACACTGGTAGTTTCTTTTCTACCACTGGGCAGCTCCTGAAGTTACTCCACGTAAATGTCCTGCTGTGCCCTCCGGGCCTGCCGTGCCCAGCTTCACCCTCTGCAGGGCTTTCTGGGTTTTGGCCACAGAACGTGGCTTTGAAGCTATAGCAGTTGATATTCCGTGGAAAGCAAGGCCAGTTTCATGAAGAGCCACGCCCGGTTGAGCCTCCTGGGGGTCAGAGTGCCCTAAACCACCCGGCCTACTCTCGCTGCCTCTCCTGCTGCTCTCTCTGCTGGCTTAGAGGCTTCCCACACGGCTGAGGGACAGCCAGGAGCCGCTGGCCTGGAAGCATCGGCTGGAGGTGTACCGGCAGGTGTCCCTGCTTCTTACAGGGACTTTGGGATGCCCGTGTAGGAGGGGACTCAAAGTCATTCCCAGCCAGCACCCCACTCCACGGGTGAGGAAGGGAGGCTTGGAGAGGCTGAGTGTCCACCCCCCCACCGCATGGCTGTCAGGGGCACCGCAGAACGAGGCCCAGGGCCTTCCGACTTCACTGTGACCCATTCCAACATTTTGCAGCCTTACTGCTCCTGTCTGGAGGAAAGCGTGTTTTCCAGAGCTGACCGAGCCCTGAGCAGAACTTGGACTCTCTCATTCCTTAAGGCTGCTCACGGGTGGCAGACCCCTCCCTGCTCACCTCACCCATGGCACACGCCCTGGGAGGCTGAAGACTCATCTCCGACTTCCCCCGGGTGCCAGCAGGAGCTTGCCTTCGTCATTCAGGGCAGAGTTCCCTCCCGATCCCTCCCTGACACTGCACAGCGGCTGGGGCCCCGTCTGCCACCCTGGCCCACCTGCGGGCTCAGTCTGCTCTCCACGACCAGGACCAGCACCACTTCTCCCCTGGCCCCGTTTCCCATGGCCCCACACCTTCCCCTGGGAGCTGCATTTTTTATTCTTTCCTACCTAATCTGATCCTTGCCTGTTTTAATGGAAAATGATGCTCTTCATTACCCTACCTCCTACCCCAAAAGTTCTATGAAAGGTGTAGAGAAGGATGGAGTTCAAGTCCTGAGTGAAGGTCAAAGCACTCCAGACTACAGCTCGCAGGGGAAGGAGCCCAGGCTTCACCCACAAGAGCCCTGTGGGCAGATCCAGAGAGCCTGCTGTGTTCTGAGACTCAGCACAGCGCCACCCACTGGAGCAGAGGGGCAGGACTCCTGGACCCCCTGCTAATTTTGAAATCTGGGTTGTGCCTCTCATGGGGAACTTCGGAAAATATTCATGCCTGGTCCCCTGCCCAAGGACGCTGACTGGTGTGGAGTGTGGCCTTGGTTTCTCCTGGCTCCCCAGGAGAGTGACTTGAACAACACACTGGCAGTTTCTTTCCTACCACTGGGCAGTGATTGTGCAGCTGGGACTTAACAGAAACATAGAGGTGGAGGAGACCTTGGAAACCATCGACCAAAGCTCCTTACATGGTTCAAGAATAGGCTTCCACCCCCGAACCTGAGGGTCTTACTTGATGTGGAAGGCAATTTCTCTGGACAAGAGCCCCACATCTTTTTGTCAGCGTCCTATGTGGTTTCTTGTCCCCAGCAGACTGACTATTAACTGTCCCCACCCCTGGGCAGACATGTCCTGGCGGTCCTGGGTCCAGATGCTCAGCCTACACTCTGGTTTGGGGGAGATGGGGTTAAGCTAATGGCAAATGGAGCATGTGCGTCTTTCCATACAGAGACTGTACCCGTGGGAAACCAAGTTTCTTGGCTTCTTGCTGGGGTTGGATCTACTCGGCATGGTCGTGTTGACTAGCAAGCTGACTGCTGTTCAGAACCTCTTCCTGGCACTATTATATGCCTTTGGGGTTAAGAAAAAGTGAGCAAGGAGTTACTACTTAATTAACCTACTGTGCTTGGTAGGCCAAAGCCCAACCTTGAGGAAAGAAATGAAAGGTGTGTTAGTGGTTATACTTACTGGCAGCTACAGATCTACTAACTCCGTTATTTGAGAGATGAAAAAGCTAAGGACAATCTAAGAGCTTGAGGGACTATCTTTAGGTTACACAGCTGGTGATACAAAGTTGGAAACCATCGACCAAGCCTTCCAGAAATGTCATAAGGGACAAAAGTAACCACATGTGGGCTACTTTGCTGACGGTTCTCACTGGTTATGAGGGTTGACCAGTGAGAGTCCATTGACCAGCCTCATCCATTGTTCGGTTCCATTGATTCAGACTCGGGAAGTCCCTCAAGGTGCGGGAGGCTTTGTGGGCCATAGGTAACCTGCACCCACAGAGAACTGAAAGAATTCTTGAACCTCAGGATTTCGTCAAGTCCAGGATATCATCAGTTATAAGATATATCATTGATTTCTGTACCCATAAGAAACAGTGCTGATACTTGTATCATTAGGTCACTAACCATAAGATGCATTAGGGACGAACATAAGATGTCTTAGGGACATTGAAACTTGAGAGAGAAATGTGAGCCATGGGATGGAAGGGAGATGGTACTTCCTCTCCCCTTCCACTTGGGGTGGCCCAGCTGTGGCCCCAGGTGGTGTCCTTCCACCTGGCTCACACCTGCCACTGGAGATAAAGTAGCACTCGGAAGAGATAGTTGTTTTAAAAGCAGGGGTGGAGGGGCAGCCCCACTCACTCCATGGTGTCCAGAGACAGCCCTGCATTTGCCCCCAAAAGGCCTGATTTTGAATCTCAGCTCTGAAACTCTAATGACGTCAGCCTCCTTGGGCACATTCTCACTCTCCCCAAGCCTCAGTTTCCTCACCTGCAGACAGACGTACACGCTGCCCTTCCTCACAAAGCAGCTGCGGTGTTCAGGAGGGAAGTAGCGGGGTGCGTGCACACTGAGTGCGTTAGCCCCTGAGAGCTGTCTTCCGCTCCTCCGCTGAGGTCTGGGGCTGCCCGGCACCGGGAACAGGGGAGTGACAGGTGGTTCTACAGAGTCAGCCTGCAGATGGGGAGCTTCATGGGGAAAAGCCCTGAAGGAGTGGGTGGAGCCCCCGTGTGTGGGGAAGCGGGTGCTTCTCCAGCTTTGGTCATACACAGGACCCCTTGAGGAACCATCACCGGCCATCCCTAGGTGGGGAAAGCAGAAGTCACCTTCCTGCGACCATGTGGTCCTAGTTCCCAGGGGTCCCCTGCTCAGATCCCAGGCACACTCCCCTCGTATTCCACACCGGCGCCCTGAGGACGCTCACATGCACACGCACACGCACACACATTTTGTTCCTCTGAATGCAGCAGTCCCCGACAGAGCCGTTCAGCCTTATTGAGCCAGGAAGACGGGGCGCCCTGCTGTATTCACCAGGTGCCGCTCCCAGGCCGCAGTCGGCAGTGTCCCAGCCCAGCCCCTCTCAGGACGGAAAGCTAAGCAGACAGTGAGGAGGACACCTCCTTCTCCTCTGTGGAGGGGCGAGTGGCACGCAGTGACCTTTCCCGGGAGGAGGCAGCCGGTGCCCCAGCCCTGCCCCTCCTAGAGGCAAGATGGCCCGTCACCTTTCCTGCAGGCCACTTCATCTCCAGAGTAGGCCTGAGAGTCCCCCTGTGCAGCAGCACTGGAAGTGTCCCGCCTGGGGCAGGTGACAGGAGTGGGTCCGTGAGAGGGCAGGTGCGCTCGGGGCGCTGAGCGCCGGGCAGGTGAAGGATCTGAGGCTCGTCACCCCGCACTTGCGCCCATCTCCCTGCCCTGCCAGGGCCCCGCAGGCATTCTCGTAAGGAGCATGGCACTGGGTGTGTGGACCCAGAGTCAAAATCTGGCTCTATGCAAATAAAGAACGAAGTAACAGTGTTAAAAAAGAAAGAAAGGGGGGTGGGGATATGTGGCACAGCGCCTGCCTGGCAAGCACGAGGTCCTGAGTTCAATTCCTGGTACCAGAGCAAAAGCAAAAGAAATCTGGCTGTCAACTCTCACACGTGTGGCCTTGGATGAGGCGCCCAGGCCTCCATTTCGCCACCAGTAAATCGGGCACCAGATGCCGCTCACGGCTGTCTGGAAAGAGGTGACGGGTGTGTGAGAAGCGGCTGTGTGCCTCGGCCTCCGCCACCACCCTGTCTCGTCTCCCACAGGCAGGGGGAGCCGCTGTCACGGCCCTGGGTGTTTGGACCCTCGCAGAGAAGAGCAGCTACCTCGGCATCTTGGCCTCCAGCACCTTCGCCGCCTCGGCCTACATCCTCATCTCCGCGGGCACCCTGGTCATGGTGACCGGCTTCCTGGGCTGCGGCGCTGTCGTCCGGGAGCAGAGGGGCTGCCTCTCCACGGTGAGCAGGGCCGGTGGGGCCGGGTGGGGAGGGTGCTGCCACCGCCCTGACCAGGGTTCCCATCCGGAGAAAGCGGCCCAGACCTGGGATGAGGACACAGCCCAGGGGGCTGCCTGGCAGGGTGGCTGCTCCAGGGTCCGCACTGGCCGGATGGTGTGGGTTCCCAGGACAGGAGCCAGCAGGCCAGCCTCAGCCACTACCACTCGCCCCTTCTCCCCTTCTTCCCTCCTCTTCCTCCTCTTCTGCTTTTCCTTCTTTCCCCTCCCCTTCCTCGGCCTTCTCTTCCACTGTCTCCTCCCTCTTTCCTCTGCCTCCTCCTGATAATTTTCAAAGACACGGGGAAGCCCCATGTGTCCACCACCCCGAATTCCCCAGCTACCCGCTCACAGCCAGCCGCGTCCCACCCACCACGCCCCCAGTTCTGCGCCGGCCCCCGCCCGGGCCGCTCTGCAGCAGCCCCAGACAGCGTGTCCTCAGTAAATATCCCAGCGTGCATCCCTCCAGCCTAGGGACGCCGCTTTAGGAAGCGCAGTGACAGCCTGTGCACACCGAGGAACAGTCGACCCCCGTCCTGTAATGTCGTGAAATAAGGCAGCTGGGGATTTCCCAGCTGACCCAAAAGACTGTTCATTGTCCGAGTTTGCGTCAGAATCTAAATTAGGGCCAGGTATTACAGGGCTGGTTTGTCTCCTCAGCCTCTTTCAGTCGCTGTGTCGTCCTCCCGCCAGCCCCCGCCGTCTCCTCCCCTCTGCCTCTCTCTCCTGCTGTGCTGAAGGAACGCTTTGTCCCACGGTTTGGGCTTCTCCAGTGGTGAAGTCCTGCGGTGTTGTTTACTGTATTTTCCCTCTAGTTTTCCTTGAAGCTGGGTGGAATCTAGCTGCTGTGATGTTTGGCAAGAGTGCTTCACAGCTGGCGGTGTAGGCCTGGGAGGCTGGGAAGAGTATCCTGAGCTGCTCACTGCTGGGAAAGACCCCAGGAGGGACCGGCGGGTCGCAGAGGCTGGAGTCCAGCTCAGGACTCAAGCAGACCCAGGTGCACAGCACTCCTTGGGCACAGCCACCTCCCCAGGGCCTGAGGCCCCTCCTCACGCCACAGCTCCTCCTGAGGGTCAAGGCCGTGTGTGGGAAGAAGACAGAGGAAGCTGAAAACCATCCAGGCGTAGCAAGGAACTGTTAGCAGCAGAACAGACCCAAGTCCCCAAGAGAAACCGGGCCAACCCTGAAAGGAATTCCGCAGCGGGAAGGAGGCTCCGGCCTGGCCCGCTTCTGCATCAAAGTTCACTTTGCAGCTGCGCCTCCTGCTGGTCCAGGGAGCAGGAGGCGAGGAGGCTCTGAGCAGGAGCCCGTCGCGGCTTGCAGCAGGCTCTCCAGCGGCAACCTAGATCCTTGCCCTGGAGGTAGCAGCTGCTGCGTGCAGCAGGCCTAGCTGCACAGCTGCCCGGTCTTGAGGAATTCCTTCACCTTGCTCAGAGGGAGAGCCCAGAGCAGGGGCGGCGGGGTGCGCAGTGTCTGCTGTCAGGGCGAGGTCCCCAGGCGGAGGTTTCGGGCTCATTTCCAGCAGCAGGGACAGGAGTGCTGGGGGCCCCTCGTGTGGCCTGGTGGGTGGGAAGATCAGCAGGGTTCAGGTTAAGGACCCCACGGACTCCACAGGTGGTCAGGTCTCATATAAAAGGGCACCGGGCTTTCTCTAACTTATGCACATCATTCTGCAAACTTTTAAAAACCGTCTTTAGGTTATGTAGAATGCCGCACAGTGTCACGTGGAGTTGTTACCGCATTGTTTAGAGAATGACTGATGAAGCATCTGTAGCACGTGGCTTGGGCCAGACACAACCACAGCAAGCCCCACCATACAGTGGGCCGGCGGGGCTGGCGAGCCCTGCGTGTGGGGGGCCACTGCTGAGGTCCCAGATCTGACCGGTGAGCTGCAGAGAACGGGTGCAACGGAGGGGTAGGCGGAGGTGTGACTCGTGTAGTACTGGCCACACTCACAGGGACGGAGGCTCACAAGGACCCGTGCCACTGGGCCCAGAGACAGACCCCTCTCCTCTGCGGTGCCTGGCTCTGCAGGGACTTCAGCAGGGCCAGGCTGAAGTTGCTGGTGCCTGGAGGTCTGCCCCGGGCAGGGGAGCCATGGGCCCTTAGCTGCCTCGTTCCTTCCCCGTGGGTCCTCTTGAGGAGGACAGGACGCCCTCTGGACAGCCCAGGAAGGAAGGCAGAGCCCCTCCCCTGGGGACCTGCCTCCCAGCTCGTCCATCTTGGTTCTGAAGAGCCCCGAGTGGCCAGCGGTCTCCTGCAGCCACAGGAAACAGGCACACTGGCCGTGCAGGGCCTGAGGGTGACACTGACAGCCACTGCTGAGTGCTGCTGCCTGTCCCCTTGTTTCCTGCTGCGGCCCTGCACGGTCACTGTCACCTGCACTCTGTGGCCAGGCGAACTCACTCAGCCCTGCACAGCCCACGGAGCCGCTTCCCTTCGTGATATGCGGGTGGCCGTGGGGACAGAGGGCGGGCACAGGTGAAGTGGTTTGTCCAGGCTGCAGGGTCACGGGGACGTAGCCAAGGGAGCAGGCTCAGCCGAGCAAAGAGCAAGCAAAGACCCAGCCGGGACCCTTGGGGCACACAGGGAGGTCACCGGGCCCCGTCAGGAGGGCAGGAAGGGGAACTAGGGGCAGGCTCAGCCTTAGTCTTTGGGGTGATGGTCACCGGGCAAGGTGCTCCCTCACAGCCTGGCTGTGGGGATGTTGAGGCAGTGGGAAAACAGGAAGATTTCAAGCTGACAGCACACTGCTAACGGTGCAGACAGTCTGCAGAGCGGTGACCACGAGGCTGGGCCCATCCTGGGCAGCTGCCTCCTCGGCGAGGTACCGGGGCCTCACCCCGGTGAGTGGGCACAGGGCAGTGGCACGCAGAGACCTAGCTGGACACAGGGTGAGGCTTGATGCCGGGCAGGAGAGCAGGGGCCTGGCGGTGGACCTGGACACCCGGGCATGGAGGGTCTTCCCTGCCCCCATACATAGCTCATCTGGGTCACAGCATGTCCAGTTTAGAAGGGAACTTGAGGGTCAGCATTCACCCAGAGTCCAGGCTTCAGGTTGCCACGTGGGAGAGCGCAGGGGCTGCGAAGGCACTGCTAGAGGGTGCTTCCAAGGACGGGCCTCTGGAGGGATTCCAGGAGCCATGCGCGGCCAGATGCAAAGGCCAGAGAGAGCCGAGGGCGCAGCCCCTGCTTGCGCAGCCCCCTGTGCCGCCGTCCCAGCCACTCCTCCTCCCTCTCTTCTCCACTGCCCGCGGATGCGATCTGCCACCCAATGGGCCAATCAGTGGAGAACGATGTCTGCACCCTCCCCAGACACAGCCTGACTGTCGTGTGGTCTGGACGGGCTGCCCAGAGGGGTCGGAGCTCCGTGCCCACGGCTGTGTGGAGAGGTGGAGCGTGAGCGGAATGCCAGCACTGGTGCTTGTGAAAGTTCGGTGGGCACCTCTTCACCCACCTTCCAGCTTCTGAGGGTCAGCAGGCAGAGAGCCCAGTCATCCGCCTGGGGCTTGAGGCGCCTGGGCACGGTGGCACTGGGGCAGGCTGGTCGGAGATGCTTCTGTCTTCTCACCTCCGCTCTGCCCCTTCCATAGAGGCCGCCCGTGCCCCTTCAATGCCATCCAGCACCAGCGATCTCTGGCTCAGCATCCCTGAGCGGTGAAACCAGGAGGAGCGTGCAATTGCACACATGTGCACACACGCGCTCCACCCCCAGGTCGGGGCATGGCCAGGCATCTCTGACAGCAGGCTGACAAACAGCAACCCCATAGCTTGGGACCCTTTTTCTGCATTCCCTGCCTCGTTTGAAAGAAGCAACAGCAAAATGGGGCCAAGGACAGACCAGAAAGAGCAGAGGACCCAGACTCACGCACACTGTGGCCCCAGCCCGCCTTAGGGAGCTCTGCCAGACCTTTCTTGGGCTAACACAAGCAGGAGTTTAAAACCTAGGTGCCCCCTTAGAGTCAGGCAGTGTGGTTAAGGTACTTTAGAAGTGCTCTGTCGTTCCTGAAGTTTCCTCCCGGGCTTCACTTCCTCTCTGTCCC